CAATTAAGTGTACTTCATTGATAGAATGCTGCTTCAAAGTATCACCATTTACATATAACCTGCATCCTCATCTTCTCCTGAACAAAGAGCGACGTTATCCAATCCAGATTCAACATTGGCTAATTTTGCAAAAAACTTACTAAAATTTGGTTATCATCCATCTTATCCTGTGAAGATGGCAAGACACTTTGCTCAACTGGAAACAAATGTGCTTCCCTATATTTGTCACCTCTAAAGTCGCCGATTCTGATCATTTTATATCACTGCAATTCTTTTCGGAAGTAAGAAGACTTTGTCAAAACATTTCTGTTGCATGCAGACTAAGTTTAAATTTCTATAAACTGCAGCATGAAAGAGCTCCTTTTAAGAAAACATTATAAAGGCATGTCGGCACCATCGATAGATACCGAATAGTCAGAGTGTGGGTCACTGGAATGGCAGAGTGAAAAGTTTGCACCATCTAATGAAAACCACAATTTATTGTGTGTAGCCAATTGCACCACTCACAATCAACTCCTCTCCTAAAGAGTAATTTAGCAGACAACGTAGGGCAATTACCTTACGAAAGCACTTCCCTAAATGCAATTACCGTTTTCATGGCAAAAGACGACGTCTCTCAGCTGGCTCAAGGATCAAGTTCTGCTTTTAATAAAAGAAAGCAGCAAGTAGGTGGAAAAGGAATGTCTGCAAATTTGCTTCACGCTGTGTATATGGCAAAGTCATCTTTAATACATAAGAGATATTAGCCGTTGGGAGTTTCATGTCATCTGCCGTGCAAGGAACTGACTGATAGAAATTCGTACGGACCGTTGGTTTTTTAAATGCATTGATATTGCGAAAATGTGCGATTTGATACAAGCAGACTCTAAGCTACTCCAAACGCAATACTTTGTGCCATAATTTTACAATACAAAGTACATAAATAAGAACAGTACTTGTTGCTTTATAACAAGTTGCTCAGCATATTCACAATCCGGTTTTTACCATGATGAACGAAAATTGGCCAGAATCCTTACTCACAAATGTTCTGCCGTCTATAAACGTGTGCATTAATCTTGCTTGTGGTAGGCAATCCATCACTGAGCATTGCACGTCTTTTTTCCTGTAATCTTCACCACTGCATGCGAACTTGTTCCTGCATGTTGTGGTGATGTCGCCTGCAAACTTGATTTTCGCAATTCAGTCTAGACTGAACCACGACAGCTGTTATGCCCACGATGAGTAGTAGCAAGGTTGCAGGTCATTTTCACTGTGCGGAATCTCTGGCCCTGATTAAATCGCCTTATGTCCGTCTACATATTGACGGCGCAATTTGCAAATAATGAAGTGACTAGTGCAAAGACGGTGCAATAATACTAGCTTTTTGGTGATCAACATGTTGCAGTGTTTGTGCTAAATGCATCAATTGCAGAAAATTTTAATGGATAGCACTCAGCTTGCCTTCATCACACTTTGTAGAAACAGGTGGGTAAAATAGGTAAGGAACAGGCTGAGCAGCCTACGTTTCATAATTTTGGATTTAATCAGCCTTTCTACTCTGTCGCCAGTTCAATGCTGCTTCCTTCAAAAGTTTAGACAAAGATGATCCGGAACGGATGTTATCCTTTGGGAAAGCTTGGACAGAGTTATAAGGCCTCAAAATCCTTGCCTTGATGCTTTGAGGAAATCCTACTTAACTTCACCACCGGTGTAGCATTTAAGTCACTTCCACGACATTTGTAAGATGTGAGTGCTCTCTCGTGGACAGGTTTAACAGCAGTAGATGGGCCCTGAAGTGGTCTGGTGGAAGGAAATCAAGGGACAGTGTCAATGTCCGTAGGATACAAGGTACATACAAATGCTCATGTGCTTTAAGTAGCTGGCCTCTAACCTACCCCTGAATAGTTGTTTCAGTGGATCCACTCGAAGTGTGGATGAAGTGTAGGAACCATACAATGACTGTCCATAAGTGAGTCCATCCACAAATGTCTATTCTCAAAGTGCACTGCAAAAGAATTTTGCCATATGGCGTCTCAATCTGGAGGACCTGTAATAATAGTAGCATTTTTAATGTCATTTTCGCCGAACTGAATTAGATGTCTAGGTGTAGATTAGTTACACTAACCACGAAACTTACACCCAAAATATCGTTCCAGCATCAGTATTGTCTTTTCACTCACACTGCCTAGCTACATGTTCGGGTGAACAAAATCTTGCTAAATCCAATGAGGATAATCTGTTTCATCTGCTTATCTTTCGTATTGTGGGGAACACCGGTTGCGTCCAGACTTTGACTTCAACTTCACTCATTAGCTCCTTCTAGCTATATGGCCATGGACCATCACCAGAATGTCACTTGTTTGCTACCGTATATTGAACAAAACAGGGCAGTAAAATTTGCATCATTGAGTCAACTTAAAAGTTCTTCTGTTAGTTGGAATTTTGTTCCTCTTTATATTCGACAAGAGAAGAAACATTTTCATTCGATCCAGAAGAATTGAAATTATTTCAAAGAAATATTACTATCAGTGTGAGCAATCCAAAACATTTCACATGCCTAAATAATGCAAAAATTTTGGCTTTTCTTATTGAAGTAATATCTGGCGTCATTAGAGGTGGTTTGCCCTTCTAGATACTTTAATTGCATGGACGATCTCTGACGACATCACCCACATGTGTGACATGTCTCATATCAGCTAACGATACCTAGTTGTAGCAATATGTGTCTTGCAAGCCAACTGCTTTGGCTTGAAGCATTGCACATTGTGAGGGTGTTCTGGGTGAGAAGGATTTTATTACATGGGCTGCGCCGACATAGCTTCTTTGAACTTCTGAGGTTGATTCTCCCACAGGACTCACTTGGCAAACGCTTGCACGCACACAAAACAAATCTAAATTTAAGCCTTTTATATGCTTGCCTTGGTCGGACTTACACTTAGTGCGTAGACAGGATGGAGTAGCAGAAATGATT